GGGCTGGGTGCTACAGTTTCCTCTGGAGCTGCTGGCTGTGGAGGCGGTGGGAGGAACGACGTCGGCGTCGGTGGTGGGTGGAGTAACGTCGGTGTCGGTGGTGGGCGGAGTGACGTTGGTGTCAGTGGTGGGCAGACTAGCGGAGGTGGGCGGATCAATTACTTAAGCTGTGCATTATGATTATCTGGAACACACTTCTAAAAATGTAATGGAAGTAGATTCAATAGTAACTTCCAAAGGGAAATGGATAAATTCTTGAAGGAAAAAGGTTAGAGTGAAAGAGGAGTGGAACTAAATTAATTAGATAGATTAAGTGATCGGAATGTGAGAAAGACAGGAAAATGGTGTGTCTAACTGCCAGATTGGAAAGAACTGACAGTCCCAGTGGGGTGGGGGAAGAGGAGTCAGGGTGACAGAGAATGTAACAAGCAAAGCTGAAAGGAAGGGAAGGAATGGGTTCACAATTTGAAGGTGCTGAACTCAATATTGAGCCCAGAAGTTTGGAAACTGCCTAGATTGAAGATGAGATGTTGCTCCTTCAGTTTACGCTGTGATTTGCTACAGCATTGCAGCATGCCAAGGGCAGACAAATGGATATGCGTGCAAGATGCGGTGTTGAAACGACTGGCTACGGCAAGGTCAAGGTCTTGCTTGAAGGCAGTCACCCAGTCTGCGTTTAGATTCTCCAATGCAATAGGTCACATTGGGTGCAGCGAATGCAATATACAAGATTGGAGGAGGTACAGGTGAAATGCTGCTTCACCTGGAAAGATTGCTTAGGCTCTTGGATGGTGAGCAGGGAGGAGGTGAAAGGTCAGGCGTTGCACCTTCTGTGGTTACATGGAAAAGTGCCGTGGGAAGTGTCGGGGGGCGGGTGTGGTGGAGCTGGTGGTCAAGGAATCAACTAGTGTGTCCCAGAGGGAACCAATCCCTGCGAAATGCAGACAGGGGAGTCAGAGGAAGATGAGTTTGGCAGTGGCATTCTGCTAGAGTTGTCTGAAATGGCGGAGAATGATCCTTTGAATGCGGAGGCTGGTGGGATGAAAAGTGAGAACAAGAGGAACCCGATCACGTTGTTCTGAGTGATGGGAAGGTGCAAGGGCGGAAGCACAGGTGATAGGTTTGATACGTTTGAGGGTGCTGTCAACCATAGTGCGTGGGAAACCACAGTTATGGAAGAAATGTCCTACTTGTGCTGTACTATTTTATGTTTTTCGCAGGATACAATGACACCATTTGAAGTCAGACAGGTCATGAGGACTTAATTGCCTGCATCCAAGGGTTTTAAAAGGAAGTGGCTGTAGAGATAGTAGAGACATTGGTCAATATATTCCAGAACTCACTTGACTGCAGGAGGGTTCCAGCGGATCAAAATCCTGCTAAACTGATATCCCTGTTCAAGTGAGAGGGAGACAGAAAGCAGGAACTATATGCCAGTTTACCCTAAAACTGGTCAATGGGAAAATGCTACTGTCCATTATTAAAGAAGAAATAACAGGACTTTTAGAAAAGCTTAACATCAATCCCAAAAGAGTTAACATGGTTTTGTGAAAGAGAAATCATGTTTGACAAATTTGTTAGAGTTCTTTGAGGATATTATAATTGATAAAGGGGAATTGATAGAGGTAGTGTATTTGGATTTTCAGAGGGCATTTGATAAAGAACCACATAAAAGGTTATCATATAGTACATGAGATCATGATATTGACGGTAATGTACTGGCCTGGATTGAGAATTGGAAAGAAGACAGAAAATGGAGTTGGGATTAATGAGTCTTTTTCAGATTGGAAATATGTAACAAGTGGAGTGCCATAAGGATCAGTCCTAGGGCCTCAATTATTTATCATCTATAACAATGACTTAGAAGAGGGGACAGAGTGTAATATATCCAAATTTGCTGATGATACAAAAATAGGTAGAAGGACATGTTGTGACAAAAATGCAGATGCAGATGGAGTGTGAGATCATGCATTCCGGTAGGAAGAATCAAAAGGTGGATTATTACTTAAACGAAGCAAGATTCCTAAGTAGTGTAGTACAAAAGGATCTGGGCAATCCTGTGCATGAAACATAAAACATTAGCATGCAGATGCAGCAAGTAATTAAGAAGGCAACTGGAATTTTGGCCTTTATTGCTTGGGGGTTGGAATTTAAAAATAGGGAGCCCTTAATACTGCTGCACAGGGGCTTGTTGAGGTCACATCTGGAGTACAGTTTACAGTTTTGGTCCCTATATTTACAAAAAAGAATATATGGGTACTGGAGGCAGTTCAAAACAGATCTAGGAGACCGATTCTTGGGATGGAGTTGGCTGATCAAGAATGGCTGAGCAGATTAGGGCTTTATCCTTTACGGTTTAGAAGAATGAGGTGTGATCTTATTGAAATATAAAATATTGTAAGGAGGTTTAACAGGGAGGTGTTGAAAAAATGTCTCCAATGGTGGGAAGTCTTGAACTAGGGTAAATAGTAACAGAATAAAGGAGACACTCACTTAAAGCTTGAATTCAGAGACAGGACAGAAACTACAGAGCTGTGGAGGTTAAATCACAAAGTATTTAATGAGGACATATATAGATTTTTGAAATATTAACAAATTGAGGGCTATGAGGAGCTAGCACAAAAGAAGAGTTGAGGTCTGTGGCAGAGCAGCCAAAACCTTATAGAATGGTGGGTGAGGTTTGAGGGGTCCACCCAAACAAATGAGCATTAGTCTTTACCTACCAGCTGGTTGATCTGAGAGAAGGAAGGGTTCTGAATATGAAGCCTGTCTGTTGCAATCCGATTCAACGCCGTGTTATCAAGAACAACCTTTAAAAATCAAAACAGCAGCGCTTTAATGGCCTATTCAATTTGGCATACCATTCTACTAGCTCATTCCCATACTTAACTGCAAGACATTAAACCCTCCAGAAAGTACTGCACCAAATTCAACCATCCCATCTGCAGCTACTTACCACACAATCTGCATTCTGAGTCAGTCTCTTTAGCGTCAGTAGTGAATTATAAGGCTGCACTACTACATCACTCATCTCATCCTGATTAGGGAACACAGAGTAAGTCTGCACCAGTTTTTTTGGGTACCTGTAGAGATTTAACATAAATATGTTTCAGCATGTTAGAATATGTATTTTTTTCTTGGTCAGTTTACTAAAAAGAAAACAACACGAACCTGATACAGGTTTTTGCTAGTTAATCACCAAGCCAATGAAGGGATCAAGTGTATCATACCCAAGTTTGTTGGTAATACATAGGTAGGTAGGCAATTAAGTAATAAGGACACGATTAAGCTCCAAAGGGATATAGAGCTATTGAGTGAATGATCAAGGAGATGGTAGATGGAGTATAATATTGGGAAATATGAAACAATTCACATTGACAGGGAGAACCGAAAAACACAATCTCTTTTAAAAAAAAAAATCTACAAAATAGTATTCAGTGATCCGAGTGTCCTAGTAAATAGAGCCATACATCACGGAAACAGATCCTTCGGTCCAAATCATCCTTGCTGACCAAGTTTCTCAACCTAAACTAGTCCACTTGCCTGCGTTTGGCCCACATCTCTCTAAACCTTTCCTATTCATGTACCTGTCCAAATGTCTTTTAAATTTATTTGTACCTACTTCCTCTGGCAGTTTATTCCACATAAGAACCACCCACTGTGTGAATAAGTTACCCTCAGGTCTCTTTTAAATCTCTCTCCTCTAATCTTAAAAATATGTCCCTAGTTTTAAACTCCTCTACCCTACATGCTATGCTATTCATGTCCTCTATGCCCCTCATGAGTCATTTAAAGTACAGGAATTCCTAATTTCAATTAGGAAGGAAATGTTAGCCTTTCTTGCGAGCAGGTTGGAATATAAGAATAAGGAGGTTTTGTTGCAATCAGCACAAATCTTTGTTGAGAATATGCCTGAAATGTTGTGTACGGCTTTTACTTCCATACCTAAAGGAAGGATATACTTGCTTTACAGGGGGTGTTCCAAAGGTTTATTAGATTGATTCCTGGATGAAACAACTATCCTTTGAGGAGAGACTGAGCAAAACTGACATAAACTCTCTCATAAGATAGTCCCATTGAAACAAAATTCTGAGAATGTTTAACTATAAGATCATAAGAAATAGGAACAGAAGTGGGCAGTTTGGTCCCTCAAATCTGCTCTGCCATTTAACAGGATCATGGCTGATCTGACATTCTTTACATCCACTTTCCTGCCTTTTTCCCATAACCCTTGATTCCGTTACTTATCAAGAATCTATCTATCTCAGCCTTAAATATGCACAAAGAGTCTGTCCCACAGGTCTCTGTGGCAAAGAACTCAATAGACTCTCAACCCTCAGAAGAGATTCTTCCTCATCTCACTCTTAAATTGGCACCCCTTCATATTGAGATTATGGCCTCTGTCCTAGGCTCTCCCATGAGGGACAACAGCCTCTCAACATTAACCATGTCAAATTCCTTAAGAATCCTATACACTTCAATGAGATCAGCTCTTGCTCTTCTAAATTCCAGCGAGTACAGTCCCAGAATGTTTAGCCTTTGCTCACAAGACAATCCCTCCATACAACGGATCATCCAAATGAACCTTCTCTGAACTGCCTCCTATGAAATGATATCCTTCCTTAAGTAAGGATACCAAAATTGCTCACAGTACTCCAGATGCGGTTTCAACAACATCTTGTACAGTTTCAGTAAGACTTCCCTACTCTTATACTCCAAACACCTTAAAATAAGGGCCAACATTCCAGCAACCTTTCTAATTACCTGCTGCACCTGCCTGCTAGCTTTCTGGGTTTCATGCACAAGTACCTGCAAGTCCCTTTGTGTTACAGCTTTCTGCAGTTTTTCCTCCATTTAAGTAATATTCCGTTCTCCCTTCCAAAATAAACAATTTGCATTTTGCCAATTATTCTCCATTTGCCAACCTTTTGCCCACTTACTTAACATATTAATAGCTTTCTATAAACTGTTTGTATCCCTTCACAACCTGCATTTCTACCTATTTTTGTGTTGTCTACAAATTTGACTACAAAACATTGACTTCCTTCCTCCAAGTCATTAATACATATTGTAAACAGCTGCAGTCTCAGCACTGATCCCTGTGGAACCATCCTGGTCATGGGTCGCCAACTTGGATAAGAACCCCTTATTCCCACTCACGGCTTCCTGCCCATTAACCAATTCTCTCTCCATGCCAATATACTACCTCCAACACTCTGGGCTCCTATATTACAACATAACCTTTTGTGAAGTACCTTACTGAATGCCTTTTGGAAGTCCTGAATACAACACATCTACTGGTTCCCCTCTTTCCACTCTGGTTGAGACTTCCTTGAAAAACTCTAAGAAATTAGTCAGACACTATTTCCCTTTCATGAAGCCATGTTGACTCTGCTTGATTAGATTATGATTTTCCAAATGTTCTGCAATAACTTCCTTAATAGTTGATTCTAATACTTTTGACATTGACCAGCAGTTTTCACTGGTTGGACAGTCTAGAAGTTGGATCCATAGTCTTAGAATACGGCATTAGTCATTTAGGGCTGAGTTGGGAAATTTCTTCATTCAAAGGGTTGGAAATCTGTAAATTCTCTGCAGAGGGCTTTGGATGCTGATACTGAGTTATAAAAATAACTGAAATAAATAGATTTTTGAAAACTAAAGGAATCAAGGGATATGGGAATACGGAGAGTAAATGGCATTGATGTATCTATTTTGTTAAATGGCACATCAAACGTGAATGTCTGTACGGTACATTCCTACTATTCATGTTCTTCTATATTATGTGCAAAGTACATCTCATTCTCCCATTACAGCATGCAGCCAAATAAGCAATCACTAATGCGGCAGTCAGTGCTTCATATTCACAGCAAGTGCTTGTCACTCACCTGTCATTTAACTTCTCTAGGAGATAGGACCCCAGCCCAGAACCTGTCCCACCAGCAATAGAATGACACAGAACAAAGCCCTATAACCAAAAACAAGACAAAACAGTAGAAAATGTTACTGTGCAAACTGGTTGCACAGGGATAACAAAATAAAATACAAACTGAAACAATTTAAACTCACAGCAGAGTCCAAACTTAAAATCAACACTGTCTTTAAAGAAAATTTTAATCAGCATTATGTTACACACAAAGAGATAATTGCATTTAAACATAATTCAAGTGCACATTTTCAGCAAGACCTTTATTTCAGTTAGCCACACTCCATGAATTTGCATCCCAATGATGATGGGCCCTCTGTATTTAAACAACCAATTTACTGTTAATTAATATATCCATTATCTATTCCTTCATTCCATTAGCTCTTAGGTATTCCTTCAGACCATATTAGATTACAACAGTTACAGTGCATAAGTACAATGTCACAAACCTTCTACCTTGTTAATACATATAAAAGTGTGAACTTTTTCCGAAGGCCTACTAGGCATGAAATTGTCTAATGTGGTACTCTGCCTTACCTCAACTTAGATTTATTTACTTGTCACATGTACTAAGTGTAGGAATACATAAGTACAGCGAAAAGTGTACCAAGTCGCCATTCACTGGCGCCCACTTGTTTACATAAAACAGAATTAAAAAATTTATGAGAGCCAAAAGGTAAAACAAAAAAAATCTAAACAACAACAAATAAATAAATCTAATCAGCTTCCATCCCAGTTTGTGCTGAGTTTCCTTTTATTAAGGAGGGCTACGGGACAGATGTAGCAATTTGCCCAAGACCATGAGAAAACTGACCAAAAGAAGGCCATTTGGCCTATCGAGCCTTCTTTGTCATTCAATATGATGATGGCTTTATCTGATTGTGGTTTGAACTCATTTACCTGACTGGCCCATATGACCCTTAATTCGAGCAGAGAATAATAAGTTGAGAAATAGTAAGACCGAGTGACAGTAAAGAAGCAAGTAATACTGACTAAAGGAGTGTTACTGTACAGGTATGTGAACGTGCTAAATAAGACTGGTGAATTACAGGCACATATTACTGTGTGAAAATAAGACGTTGTGGCTAAACCAGAGACATAGAACATAGAACAGTACAGCACAATACAGGCCCTTCGGCCCACAATGTTGTGCCGAACTTTTACCCTAAACCTAAGGTCTATCTAACCTCCACCCCTACCTTATACTATCATCCATATGCCTATCTAATAGCCGCTTAAATGCCTCTAATGAGGCCGATTCCACTACCCTCTCCGGCAATGCATTCCAAGCCCCACCATTCTCTGAGTAAAGAACCTACCTCTGATGTCTCCCCTATATCTACCTCCACTCACTTTAAAACTATGCCCCCTCGTAATAGCTACCTCCACCCGAGGAAAAAGTCTCTAGCTGTCCCCTCTATCTATACCTCTGATCATTTTGTACACCTCTATCAAGTCACCTCTCATCCTTCATCGTTCTAAAGAGAAAAGCCCTAGATCTCTCAACCTTTCCTCGTTAAGACCTTCCCTCCATTCCAGGCAACATCCTGGTAAATCTCCTCTGCACCTTTTCCAACGCTTCCACATCTTTCCTGTAATGAGGTGACAAGAACTGGACACAATACTCCAGATGTGGCCGAACCTGACTTTTGTATAGCTGGAGCATAACTTCACGGCTCTTGAACTCAATCCCTCTATTAATGAAAGGTAAGACCTGAAAAGCAGGACTGGGTCTTAAATATCCCTGGAACCGATGTGCGAGGGGGGCGGCCGTATTGATGAAGAAGAGCATTGCAGTGCTGGAGAAAGAAGAAAACGCAGAAAAGTTGAATCAGATGTAATGGTATTACAATCGAGTAAAGGTAACTAAAAAGATATTAGGGAGAAGCTGGCCAGATTAATTGGAAAGAGAACCTACCAGGCAAGATGGTACAGCGGCAATGGCAGAGGTTTCTGGGGGTAATTCGGGAGGCACAGCAGAAACTTATCTAAGAAAGAAGAAACATTTTGAAGGGGAGGGAGAGTCAACCATAGCTAACAAGGGAATTCAGGAATGGCATAAAAGGAGAACAAAAGTATACAATGTGATGAAGATCAGTGGTAAGCCAGAGAATTGGGAAGCGTTTAAAAACCAAAAAGTAATAAGGGAGTAGAATATGAAATATGAGGGTAAGTTAGCTAATAACATAGAAGAATATTGCAAGTGTTTTGTTTACATATATAGTCAGGAGGTGTGTTACTCACTGCAGTATTACTAGCCTCTGACCTGCTCTTGTAGCAACCGTCTTTATGTGATGAGTTCAGTTGATGATAACCCGACTGAATGTCAAGGAGCAGTGGTCAGATTGTCTCTTATTGGTGATGGTCATAGCCTGGCATTTGCACAGCACGAATGTTACTTGTCACTTGTCAGCCCAAGCTTGGATATTGTCCAGATCATGTTGCATTTGGCCACAGACTGCTTCAGTATCTCAGCAGTCACAAATTGTGATGAGCATTGTTCGCCAGTGATTGCATTGACACTTCTGACTTCTGATGGAGGGAAGGTCATTGAAGAAGTAGCTGAAGGCAGTTGGTCATAGGACACTATCCTGAGGAACTCATGCAGAGATGTCCTGGAGCTGTGATGACTGACCCCCAACAACAACAACCATTTTCCTATGTGTCAGGTATGATTCTAACCACTGGAGAATTTATCCCCCAAATACTCATCGATTCCAGTTTTGCCACACTTGGTCGAATGCAGCCTTGATGTCAGGAGCTGTCACTCTCACCTCACCTCTGGAACCTAGGCTGTAATGAGATCAAGAGCCGAGTGGACCTGGCAGAAACCAAACTGGCGCCACTGAGTAGGTTATTGTTGAGCAGGTGCTGTTTTATAGCACTGTTGATAATTGAAAGTAGACTGATGGGGTGGTAATTGGGCGGATAGAATTTGTTCTGCTTTTTAGGTACAGAACATACTTGGGCAATTTTCTACATCACTGGGTAGATCCCAGTGCTGTAACAGTGTTGGCTAGGGGAGCAGCAAGTTCTGGAGCACAAGTCTTCAGTACTAATGCTGGAATGTTGTCAGGGCCCAAAGCCTTTGCAGTGTCCAGTGTCTCTAACCAATTCTAGAAATCAGGTGGAGTGAATTGAATTGGCTAAAGACTGGTATCGGTAATGCTGGGGACCACCAGAGGAGGCAGGGATGGACCATCCACTTGGCACTTCTGGCTGAAGATTGCTGTGGAAGCTTCAGCCTTATCTTTAGCACTGACATGCTGGGCTCTCCATCATTAACCATGGGGAAAGTTGTACAGCATCCTCCTCCAGTGAGTTGTTTAATCGCCCATCACCATTCATGACTGGATGTGGCAGGACAGCCGAGCTTAGATCTGATCTGTTGGTCATGGGATTACTTAGCTCTATCACTGTGCAGATGCATCTGGAGCTGGCAGATTGCTAAGGTTGAGATCATGTATGTTTTTGCTTCTTGTTGGTTTGCTCACCACCTGCCGCAGACCCAGTACAGCAGCTATGTCCTTTATGACACGATTGGTTTGATTAGTAGTACAGCTGCCGAGCCACTCTTGGTGGTGGGCACTGAAATCCCCCACCCAGAGTAGATTTTGTGCCCTTGCCATCCTCAGTGCTTCCTCTAAGTGTTGTTGGAGGATTATTAATTCATCAGCTGAGGGAGGATGGTATATGGTAATCAGCAGGAGGTTTCCTTGCCCATGTTTAATCTTAAGCTTCATGGGGTCCGGGATCAATGCAGTGGACTCCCAGAGCAACTCCCTGCTGACTGTATGCCAGTGTGTCGCCACTTCTGCTAGTTATGTCCTGCCAATGGGGCAGGACATATCCAGGGATGGTGATAGTGATGTGTGGGACATTGTCTGTAAGGTATGGTTCCGTGAGTATGACTATGTCAGGCTGTTGTTTGACTAGTCTATGAGACAGGTTTCCCAATTTTGGCACTTACCTCCAGATGTTAGTCAGGAGGACTTTGCAGGGTTGACAGGGCTTTTTCTGCCACTGTCTTTTCCAGTGCACAGGTCAGTGCCATGTGTTCCGTCCAGTTTCATTTCTTTGAGACTTTGTAGCGATTGCTACAACTGAATGGCTTGCTAGGCCATTTCAGAGGGCATTTGAGAGTCAACCATATTGCTGTGGGTCTTGAGTCATATGTTGGCCAAACCAGGTAAGAACGGCAGATTTCCTTCCCTGAAGGACATTAGTGAATCAGATGGGTTTTTCCAACAATCAATAATATTCATTGTCATCAGTAGATTCCTATTTTTTTAAAAATTGAATTCAAATTCCACCATCTGCCATGGTGGGACTCAAACCCAGGTCCCCAGAACGTTACCTGGGTCTCTGGATTAATGGGCTAGCAATAATACCACTAGACCATCGCCTTTCCAATGTTCAACAAAGGAGAGCTAGTGGACATGATCTATAGCAAGCCTTGTTTTAACTGGCATCTTATGAACTGGCTCTCTCAATAAACCAGCAAAAATTATATACCTGAAACACCAAAAGTTTACTGCATTATTGCGAACTCTGCAATGTCCAAGTAGTCAGTTGAGGAAATGAATGAGAAGGCTCTCTGCTGGAAAGTTTCATTTAAGGCAAAGTTGCATTATTATTTAAGTGATTTATGCTGTAAATAAAATATAACAGTGACATGTATATCCCCTGCATTACTTTTCTGTTACTTAGTGTGAGTTTTTACACTGATTGCGTGGACCTCTTGATCAACTGGAATATTTGATCAACCAGCACGGTCCGGCTTCCATAGTGGCCAGATAATAAAATAATTCCTGCATTTGGATTTCCAGAAGGTCTCCCACAAGGTGTCGCTCAGGAGGCAACTGAATAAGACGGGGGCTCATGGTGTTGGGATCAAGGTACTGACATGGATAGAGGATTGGGTGACTGGCATAAGGCTGAGAGTGGTGATAAAGTGGTATTTTTCAGGATGGTAGCCGGTGACTAGTGGAGTTCCACAGGGGTCAGGTTTGGGACTACAACTATTCACATGATACACGAAC